TCGGTTCGTCGTTACGTTTGTCGTTGTTAGCCTGATTGTTGCGTTTTGAAGGCATGACCAGACATGACCAATCACCAGGAACGTAGAAGTCTCTGATACCAAATTGGCGTAGCGTAAGCAGTGAACAGGTCTGCGATTTATCAACTCAAAGGATTGACGAACATCAGATGATTTCTTAGAGGTCTCTAGCTATGTTTGTAGCTTAGAACTCAAGAAAAAGGGTTTGCTTTAAAAGCTCTGAATTATTCAATAAAAGTTATCTTCTCTTTACAACTTTGATGAGTTTAAATAGAAAAGGAAAACGAAATCTAAAATGAATCTTCTCAAAGGATGAGAACAAACCTAACTATGATAAAGCCAAATAACCCAAAAGATAAACTAGAATAACCGAAAATAAAGACTTAGAAGATACGACGGTTGAGACATGAAGATACGCTGCATCATTATGTAAATAATGTTATCTAGGTATTATCAAAAATAAAATGTTACAACCCAAGAGAATAGATATGGAGGATGGTGAAGGAAATAACAATGGATGTGAGTTATAGAAGCGGTATAGAACAACATCAGTTGAGACCAGTTACAAGAGAAGCATTAAGAATCTATCAAGAGAATGGAGAAGATGCTAAAAATGGTAAATCGAATCCATCAAAGGCATTGAACATAACCCATGGCACTTCTTCTGATGTATTTGACAAGATTTCTCCTCATTACGACTGAATTTGCTTTGGTTGGTTCATCGGTGAGCGTCACATGTTGTCCAATTTGCTTTTACCGTATAGTATTTTTGTTTTGCTATATATTTTAGGACGAAAATTTAATTAACATCTTTTCAACTAAGTAATAGTTTTTTATTTATTATCTTTATATGACACATCCTCTTTTTTGCAATCACAAATTTCACATAGTAACTAATATTATAACCAATATTTTACCTATTTTACAATGAATTTCTATATATTTTATATGCATTTCATCACGATTGTATGTTTTTAGAAGTAATTTTTTCGTATTTGTGGTTTTAGAGTTTTTACAAATAAATTCTTCAAAAATAAAGCAAAAATGACTAAAAGAGGTGTAAACCAAGCTACACCATTCATACAAGTCAAAGATGTTGTTCAAACCAAAAAACTCAAAAGTTATCACATTTTACCGAGTTGTAAGAAAGAGATTGTTGGTTTCATTTTCTACTTTCAAAAATGAGTGAGTCAAGTATGAGAAGGAGGTGAGACTGAATATATAGCCAAGGAAGAAAGCCAATCTACTCCTCCATCATAAATGGCGAGCACAGATTATGGGCAATAAAAGTAAGGCGAGATATCATGACTTAAGTCGCAGTCGTTATGATATTAAAGAGAGAAACGTTTTGATTCTTTTGAATTCAAAACGTGCTGACTTTTGTGGGATTGGCCAAAAAAAATATAACCAGCTTAGAAAAAAAGAGCACAAATACATAAATGTTAAAGTGAAAATTGAACCCTCAAGCCCACAACCCTCGAACCCACAATTGAAAACATATTATGCAGAATATTATTACTCATTTTAATTTATTTATACTATTAACAATTTAGTAATATCTTTATTTTATTACTATTAACATATTATTATTATTTTTGGCTGGGAAAAGTATTGATCTATACCCGAGAATACTCCAACGA